TAATTCTTCCTTCCACGCTTCGGATGAAAAAGAGAATTAAGCATGATGCAATCATTATTACTTATCATCAATCATGAGAGGATGTTTAAACTATGTCATCTGTCTAATACCCTCTACCATCACTACATGTGTGATATGTGCTTTCTAGATCAAATGTGGCGTGTCCATGATACCTGTCAGTATCCATTTCAAGAATCAAAACAGAAACAAGGGTCCAAGGCAGATTAGTTAGTTTTCTAAAGAGTGGAGATATGACCACATGCTCCATTTCTTATATTTACCAATCTCTGTAGGTGAAAGTTCAACTATAATCTCACAAGTGACACACATTCACATTAATTTAGTGGGATCTTGGAGATTAAAAAACATTCATGTAGATAAGTAATACATATTGTATAACTAATGGACAGTTTTCAACTGAAAGAAAAACTACAAAATACTTGTATATCCAACAGAAACAAAAAGTTCCTCTAGTAATATAGTAGATTGTGACATTTGTTATATTAATAATAATTACATTCCATGTTGTGTTTCTAAATACACTGAAAAAATAATGCATGAGTGGCTATCAGCTACAGATAAAGCTTCATATATAGTCAAAGGCAAGTATGGTATCTTCTATTGCATCACTTTCATATCCAAACAAGAAATCTGCATCTCATGAAGTCACTAAATTCAAATCATCTAAGACAAAAATGAGAGAATGAATGACATCACAAGAAAACCTTGTTTTGAACTACTCTTAAACTTATATCATGATTCATAACTCCAGTTCGAATTATCTGGTTTGGCATAAGCAAAAACCCACATACACAGGCACCAAAAAACATGGCATCATCTATATTTTTTTTTTCTTTTTAACTAATAAAAAACGATATTTGATAATTAATTGAGAACTTAATTATGTATTTGAGGCATTTATATAACAAACTAGAAGTACTGTAATTAGGTCAATTTAAATCAATTTCAAAATTCAAGTTGGGGAAGATAGGTTAACTAAAACGAATTCACTACTCCACTATACTGAATCAATTTCAATGAGCAATTAATGTTCGGCCTTTACTGACAATATAGAAACAAAAATTCAGAGGGAGTGAATAGAGATTAGGAGCGAGAAGAGGGGAGACATGACCGAAAGTAAAATCTTACCGCCGCCGATGATCAGTGATGATGGAGATGGTGGGGAAGTTGGCTGCGTTGTCGGTGATGCATCTGTTGAGAGGAGGGTTCTGAGGAGTTACAATTCTTTTTATTTTTCCCAATCCGCACGAACAGAGGGAGTTATCAGTGTTCTCTTTGGGTTGTGAGGTATATGTGTTATATTTGCTATAACACTTTTAAAGAAAAGTGTTATCTTTTGTTCTCATTGTATAGCGTTTGTTAAAACGAGTGTCATCTGTGTGTTCCCTTTTCTTAGCATAGCACTTTCTTAAAAGAACGCTATATAAGAAGTGTTATCTGAATCAATTTTTGTTGTAGTGAATATGTTCCCCTGTTGAAATTAGTCATAAAATTAAAAAAAAAAAATGGACCAAATATTATTATCATAATTAATGGTGTTTGCTTTTACCAAATAAATAAATAAATAGGATTGTGATGGAATTTTAATCATATGGTTCATCCCATGTTTTGGGGGAAAGTGAAACTCGTTTTTATCAACATTGTTGTATAACTTATTCTTTGTGTTTCCCACTAATAAAATAAAAAGGTTGAATGCAAGTAAATAAAAAGGTTGTATAACTTATACTTTGTGTGAGTAAATTACTTTTTTACTGATTATAACTCTGAAAGTGCTACTATCCCGTTACGGAATCATTCCGTCGGGACTTGTAACCGATAGATCAACTATCTCTGACAGTTACAAACCCTGATAAAATGATTCCGTAATGATACGTTAATATTTCCCTATAACTCTATAACTAGAATTGGGCATTGTGCATGTGTAATTTGCTTTGCACTGAAACAATGAAGTTATTATAGTAGTTGTTATACAGAGAGTTCGACTCATATATAAAAGCAAACGGACATAACTCCGACAACAAAATCAAGCTTATTTCTTATAAATTGAATAAAACTTATTCGCGAACAATTGATTTATTTCTTTTCCAATTTTAATATATTTCAAATGAACAATCGAGCCACATATGTTCATCAATGCAAAAAAAGGTGCTCGCCAACAACTAATTTATGATTTTTGGCGAGCCGAAAAGCTCAAGCAGAACGGGTTTGTTTACTAAACGAGCAAGCTCGATGAAGTGTTCGACTCAACTCGACTCGACCAGATTGACAACTATTTGTAGTAGTTTTTAAATAGATAAAATAATCACACACAACTCATTAAAGCAAAAAGCATATATCCCAAATCTATAAAATCATTGAAAATACAAATTTAGAAACAATCTAGACGAACTTTACCAAATTTTAATTTATCATACAACACCAGCATTGGGAATATTACTATTTTTTTCTCGTTTTCCTTTTTCTTTTCCCTTTTTCCTTCCTTCTAACAAAGGCACCAAAAAATCAAATCAAATTCTAAGCAAAAAAATACTAAGCTCCGGCCCACCACCGCCGTCCGGGTTCAACATGTAGAAAGCCTCCGAGTCCCGGCTCCCAACCACCCTCTCGAACCGGGCCCTCATGTACATCACCTCCCCTTCCGCCGCCTCCTCGCCGCCGCCGTCCGACACCGGAATCACCCCGGCTCCGACCGACACCGTCCCGACCGTCCTCAGCACGTGCCGGTCCGACTCCGCACAAGCCCTCCCCGCCGCGTAACCGCACTTCCTCCCGTTGCAGTACATCGTCCATGACGCCTCTCCGTAGAGCGCCGGCGCAGGCGGCCTCCTCTCACACTCGAGCGCGATCCGGACGAGCCCGGACGACATCTCCCTCACGAGGGCCGACGTCGAGACCGCCAGCTCTATAACGAGGGCCGGCTCTGACCTCGGGTCGTCCTGGACGGCGAAGCTGACGTGACACCTCCGCCGACCGAATAGGGTTCCGGTGACCTTACGACCGAGTGAAGGGGCAGCCGCCGCCGGAATAAAACCCCCGGCCGGCGGCGGGATATTGCCGAGCCACCGGCAAGTGGGGAGGGCGAGGACCGAGAGGAGGGAGCGGAGTAAGGAGGAGACGAGCCTGACGGGTGGGCGGCGGGTGTGGTGGGAAGCGGCCGGGATGAGGGCAGACGTGGTGGTGGACGACCGGGTGAGGCCGGCCGGCGTTACTTTGTTTGTGTTTTTGCAGCTGGTTGTTCTTTGGAGTGCATTTGGTACTATTTGGTCATTTTGTCCCATGGTAGAGTGTGGAGATAAGATAACAAATTGGGTTTAAATTATGGTAGTTGAGTGTGTAGTATGTGTAGTTTGTGCCTATGTTTTTGCTATGTCAATTATTATGATGACCCAAATAAGTGGTTTTTGAGAAGTGATAAAATGATTGAAGCTTGAGAAGTAAGGGAAAGGGATTAAAGAAGACCAAAGTATTTTGGGAGGGGACAAATTATGGTGTTAGATATGTGGGGGATGCATATATATTATGTAAAGAGGACTATAATTATGGAGGATTGTTTGGTGACTACATGATGATCATTTCAAATGGACTCATGCCTAATATTTATACTCAAAGCCATGAGTGTTTCTTTTGCTTTTTAATATTTTTTTATATATGTAGAGTATAAGTTGACATATAAATTCTGTGTAACAGTTAACTTGTACGCAGTTGTTAGCTGATTGCATTAACTGATAGTGGTTAATTGAATTCGCAGTTTTGAATAGTTGATTGGATTAGGCATGAGTAAACTTTTTTGTTTCACGCTCTTTTTTAGGGTTAGTTATGATAAAAAAAAAAAAAANAAAAAAAAAAAAAAAAGTAACATTTTATATTAATGGAATAATAATTGTATTTTTTTAGTCATTTTTTATCATATAATAGTTATTATTAAAACTAACTAATTATATTTTACATTAACTGATATATGAAAGCTATATAAATATAAAAAAGTTATATTGTTAAACTTTTTTCTTTAATTTATTAATTCTTAAATTATTATTATATTTTTTATCCAAGCACGCGATTGTATTTTTTTTTAAAGTAAACTAATTGATTTTAATAGTATGGTCATCTCTTAAAATCGCATGAGCAATTATTATAATTGTAAATGTAATATCTTTTTAACTAATTAATCAGTAATGATCCCTCAAAACTATATATTATTCATTACATTCTGTTCCATTAATATAGTGATTCATTGCAGTTATATAGTGTTTTTACTAATTTTAAAATCTATAAAAATTATATAACTTATATCTAATTTAAATAATATATACACACATATAACTTGTAATACTTTGCTTATATTTATGCATGTGCACATAATCGAATACTAGTCAAATTATAAATCACAGATATTTCAAACCTTTAATTCATCACAAACATCCAATTTAACTTATAAAATACGCTCGTGTGGACCATAACAAAGGCACCAAGGAAGGTTACACGTGCGAATCCTTTAATGACATTAATTTTGGTATAATTGGTTATGCAATTCTTTTTTTTTTTTGGTACAAAGAGGGAGGCGTAAGCCTTAAACTATGATATTACGAGGGT